CATCGAGACATGCTAAAAGAGGTTTAATGGACCAAGCCTCAACTTGCCTTAGGAGTACATTGATTTGGCAGTCGTCGGCGTAGCAATGAAAGGAGATGCCGTGCTTTCTAAAGATTGAAGCCAAAGGCAGGATGTACAATGAAAAAAGCAAAGGCCCTAAAACTGAACCCTGGGGAACCCCACATGACAGAGGAGCAGAAAGGGATTCAAATCCTGCAATTTTTACTGAAAATGTTCTGTTTGCCAGATAGGACCTTAACCAGTCCAGGGCAGTGCCACTGATGCCTACCTGGTGCTGCAGACGCATCAACAAAATGCTGTGGTCTATTGTATCAAATGCAGCGGTTAAGTCCAGTAAAACAAGAATAACATGATCACCAGAGTCACATGCCAAAATAATATCATTATAAACTCTCAGCAGGGCTGTTTCAGTGCTATGAAGAGTTTTGAAACCTGACTGAAACACATCCATGATATTATGTTCGTCCAGGAAGGATTTTAGCTGCACGTAAACAATTTTATCATTGTTCTATGTCTTGATTTCAGATTATATTTTGTTGTTCAGGGACATCAGATGGAAATTAACATTTGCTAAATCGGGTGAAAAGCATCTTTTTAATGTTTTATTTAAACATTGTTCCTGTTTTTAAATAAAGGAATTTAAAAAAAGGAAATATTAACAAAACAGCTACTAAAGTGGGTTTTCTTTATTATAACACTGGTGTTTAAAATAATGAGGGACAGGTAAAGCAATCAAAATGATGTAAATAATAATAAAACATATCATTAAATCAGTTTCATAACTGTGTTTTCTTCTTTTCTTCTGCCTTTTTCAGCCAAATATTTAGAGAACTTTGCAGGAAAGAAGAGTAACCCAAACAAAATGAAGGTTAGAGAGATGTGGAGACTTGTCCTTGGATCAGAACATCAGACCAGGCCAAACAAATCTCTCCTCCTCCTTACCAGCCTGATAAACTCAGATAAATCACCTGCTAAAACACTGTTTGCTTTAATAAAATGTATCTTTTTTATATAAAGATAAAAGGAAAAACGTCTGGGTCTTAAAAAAATCACGAGAAAAAAATAATAGAGTGAAAGAGCTTTTTTTTTTTTATTCCTGTGTCTAAACTGCGTCATGTGTGAGGGTCACGCGCGCCCACAACAAATGCGCAACGGAAGCTTTTTTTACGCACAAATCCCCGCAGTGAGTCGGACACACCTTCAGTGTTTTCTGCTGCAGGCAGAAGATCAAAACATTCATCTGGTTTCTCTACCTGAACAGCGGCGGAGCTGAAGACAAGCTGGACTTTGTTCCTCCTGAACTTAAACCAGTCTTCCTCCTGTGGTTCTGACAGGGTCCAGGATCCAGAGAAGACACGGAACATCTGCAAAAGAGAGGGATGAGAGAGAGAGAGAGAGAGAGAGAGAGAGAGAGAGAGAGAGAGAG